CAATTCTCCTGCCTCAGCCTCCTGAGTAGCTGGGATTACAGGCACGTGCCACCATGCCCAGCTGATTTTTTGTATTTTTAGTAGAGACGGGGTTTCACCGTGTTGACCAGGATGGTCTCGATCTGTTGACCTCGTGATCCACCCGCCTCGGCCTCCCAAAGTGCTGGGATTACAGGCTTGAGCCACCGCGCCCGGCCTTTTTTTTTTTAAATCTTTGCTAAATCTGATAGGTAAAAATGGCATGTCCTTGTTTTGATTGATCTGTATTTAAATACGAGCATTGCTGAGCATCTTTCAACTTCTTATGTTTGTAGATTATTCCAAGCTGCCAGGAAAGGCTTGTTTAGCAGCAACGCTTAACGTGATTATGGGTTGATTCGAATTTTATTTTATGTCTTATGATCTGAAATTCTGGAATCAGAAGATCTACTTTTGAGTTCCATCTATCCAGTCAACAAATATTTACTGTGTGTTGTGATGTACTAGGCTTGTCTCTAGTGCTAGGAATACAATAGACACCAAGTCACAGTTCCTGCGCCATGTGTTACACAGAATGTGATCTTACAGTTCTGAGTTTGTTTCCTCGTCTATGAAATGAGGGTACTGATTTTGCTCTATATAACTCAGAGGATTGCTGTGAATATTAAATAAGAGAATATGAAAGTGCTTTGTAAAGTGTCACAAAAATATCTGTAAAAATGATGAATGTTTTTTAATCCAGTGCAAAATAAAATGGAAATTTAACAAATAAGTTGCTCTGTTTAAAACTGATTAGACAAATAAAATACAAATTTCAAGAGTACCCAAAAAAATTATATTTTGGCTGGGTGTGTTGGCTTATGCTTGTAATCCCAGCACTTCAGGAGGCTGAGTTGGGCAAATTACTTGAGGCCCAGAGTTTGAGACCAACCTGATCAACATGGTGAAACTGTCTCCACTAAAAATGCAAAAATTACCCTGGCATTGTGGTGTGCACCTGTAGTCCCAGCTGCTTGGGAGGCTGAGGTGGGAGAATCGCTTGAACCTAGGAGGCAAACGCTGCAGTGAGAGCCAAGACTGCACCACTGCACTCCAGCCTGGGCGACAGAGACTCCATCTCACAAACACAAACAAACATACCCAAAATTTGAATTATTTTATTTCAATTGCATATTCTTTATATACTCAATTTCAAACTATCAAAAAAATGTTTTATTTTGGAAAGCACTTGAACAGGCACACAGTCAAGTTGTGCTTGTCATTTCTAATACAGAAGATAGCTGACCTGGGTTTTTTGCATGGATCCTAACTTTTATTTCAAATACTTTTATGACCATCCTCAACTACATTCAGATGGATTTTAAGATAGTAATTCACGTAATCAAAAACACTGCACCTAATCTGAAACCTGTTATGGCATGCTGGGCAGAGGAAATACTATATATTTGATAATGCTTTATCATCTGTTGCCAAACAGAATGTTCCCAGCTCCATTTTGCAAATGAGAAAACTTTGAGAGCCCTGTGTAAATTTCTCTAAAATAGCTATTTAATTGGACTGGGGATTCAAACCCAGGTTTTTTTTATCTTAAGTTCTTTTTTGTTTTTGTTCTTTCACCTGACCACTGTCCTAAAAGAAATAATTCTTTCTTTTGAACACACACAAAAAGAACCTTTAAGATTATTTTTTTTGTCACCACTATAATGGTTCCAACTAAAATATAAGACATGCCCAGTCTATTTAAAAATGGATTTCTGTCCGAAGTAGTTGAGTCATATGTACAGTATTTTTTTCGTACACAGCACACAAACAAACATTAACAGTCATTTAAAGACTGGTTAAACAAAAGTACTGAAATATGTGGCACCAGGAAATAAGGACATGCTCTAATAATCATATAGCCACAAAAGCATGCAGGAGTCAACTTAAAGAACCTCCTGCCAGCGAAATCTAGGACAATTTGGCATTAAAATAAATGATGACTAGTAATGGATTGTTTCTACTGAAAACAATAAATATCCATAAATTAATATTGATATAAACAACAAACAAACAAGAGTGAAAGAAAAGTACTTCCTTATTGTAGAATGCCAACTATTAAATATAATAGGAATGATGGGGTTAGGAAATATCAATAGATGTTAAAGCCACTCAGTAGAAGTTTGATGAGGACCAGTATATTTACATGGTCTCAAAGTAAGACTTCACATTATTACTTATACAAGGGAAACAATGGTAGCTTTACTGGATAAATCCAACAGACACCACTTTAAGCAAGTCATCAGATAGAAACAACACCAATATCGGGGCAAACCAACATCATGTGCTTCCTCATCATATGCTGACAAGGAGTCAGCATCACTTTCATGTTTTTGCCAAAAATGTGTAACACAAGTCTCATCATAAGGAAACAACAGACAAATTCACAATAACAAGTGTTCTGGATGGGCATGGTCGCTCATCCCTGTAATCCCAGCACTTTGGGAGGCCGAGGTGGGTGGATCATAAGGTCAGGAGTTCAAGGCCAGCCTGGCCAATGTAGGGAAACCCCATCTCTACTAAAAATACAAAAATTAGCTGAGCATGGTGGTACACACCTATAGTCTCAGCTACTCAGGAGACTGAGGCAGAAGAAGCTTGAACCTGGGAGGCAGAGGTTGCAGTGAGCTGAGACCGCACCACTGCACTCCAGCCTGGGTAACAGAGTGAGAGTCCATCTCAAACAAACAAACAAAAGAAGTGTTGTATAAAATAACTGGCTAGTACTCTTAGAAAATGTCAAGGTCATAAAACACAAAGGAAGTATTAGGAATTATTCTAAATTAAAGGGGATTAAAGAGACAGAATCCTGGGTTTATAAAAAAGTAGCTATAAATACATTATTGGGATCATTTATTAAATTTAAATATGGACTATAGATTAGATGATAGTATATCAATGTTAACTTCCTTGACTTTGAGAACTGTACTGTCGTTATGTAAGAGAACGTCCTTTTTCTTATAAAACTAGCACAAGAATATTTAGAAGTAACTGGGTATGATACCTGCAATTTACTCTAAAACTCGTACACACATATAATATATGTATAGTTATATGCCTCATAATGATGTTTCAGTCAATGATGGACCACATGTACAATGGTTGTCCCATAATATTATAATGAAGCTGAAAACTTCCTATCACCTAGTGATATCATAACTGTCATAATGTCATATGCAACACATTGCTCATGTGTTTGTAGTGATGCTGGTTAAACAAACCTACTGTGCTGCCAGTCACATAAAGCTATAGCACATGTGATTATGTACAGTACATAATGCTTGACGATTATAATAAATGACTGTGCTACTGGTTTATGTATTTACTACACTATACTTTTTTTTTTTTTTTTTTTTTTTTTTTTT